TAAGTGATGCCTCAAGTAATTGTAAAATATCAAGAGGCATCAAAGGGGGGAATGTGGTGGAATCTCGGTAAAAATAAATTTAGTAGGCCGAGATTACCACGTGGCATGTGTACGTGCATATGCTGACGTATCGATCAGTTGGTTGCACGAGGCAAGATACGATCAGTAGTGTACGGAGCATGTGCAAGAATACAGGATGTAGTATTCCCCTCCTCCATTGTGCTGGACAAGCCATGCGGTCAAGCAGGAAGTTAATTCTTATTTGTAATGATTGGTCAAGAGAATGTGCGGGTGGAGCTTAATATGGGAGGAGTTATGTGCCTATATAGGGAGCCTGCACTATTGTTCGGGGCTCAGAACTTGCTGTATTTTTGGTGACATTAGTCCCTCTGAGTCCCGATCGGTGATCCAATAAAGAATCTCTTCCTTCCTGAAGAAACCTGTGTCCATCTCTCTGTGCTTTGCTTCCGTCAGTTTCTCCGGTATCAAAAGAAGGGAGGGACAACGGGATAGGAAGTGGGAAAGGGAGGGGAATCTGGAACTGGAACAGAAGGGGTGATGGGGAGAGCAGAGGGAGGAGTAGGAATAGAGGGAATAGTAAGGGAAGAGGGAGATACGGCAGAGGGAGATGCAACGAGGGGAACAACGGGTGAAGGCAGGAGGGGAACAGGAATAGAAGGAATGTCAGAGAGAGGAACGAGGGGGGTGACAGGGGAGGCAGCAGGTGAAGATGGGAGGGGAGCAGGAATAGGAGGAATGATAGAAGGAGATGGGAGAGGTGTGTCATTGGAAGAAGTGACGGGGGAGATAGTAGAGGGACGGGATTGGCAGTGACAAGGGAAGGTGGAAGAGAGACGGGACCAGAGGGAAATGGGAGAGGGGCTGGGGTAATGGGAATGGCGGCAAGAGGCGGGAAACGGACGGGCTAATAATAAGATCCGTCCTCCCCGAGGACGGTGTACAGAGGGGTTGGGACAGAGGAGCCTATGCCAACTGGAGATGGCAACTGGGTAGTGACAGGGGAGGTGGGGCGAGATTCATTCACAGTGCTCTGGGCGCCATTATAGGGCGGTGGTCGGGGAACATCAAGAGATGAATCATTATTGCAAACATTTCTGTGATATACATAAACCGTTTGTCCTTCAAAGTCTAGTTCTTCCTCTGACCAACTCTCCCGGTTGAGTCCCCTTGCTACCCGATACCAAGCCTCTACGGCTTTCATTAACCCGTTATCCAGTAACAAACCCTCTTTATCAACAAGTAATTTCCTCCAAAACTCTGGTTGTAATCTACCACTGGGTGACATTTGAAAACCACAAATCTAACTATCTTCTTCATTTTTTACATAGCCTCTTCCCCTGCTCTCTCCTTAACAATATCACAAGCTAAATAGCCTTTAGAGGGTCTGGCATGTTCTTGTCCCATTTTTACGAAACAAGGCTTCCCACGTATGAGGGACAGAGAGAGAGAGAAAAAATAGAAGGAATGTCTACAGTGCTCGACTGCCACGAGGAATAGATCCTCATGCGTCTTCCCAAAACGTAGACTAGTCACGGGATCCGCCCACCTAAGATGGTGACTACGGATCTGACTGGCCGAGTGGGTGTGACTAAGACAGCTATGGTCAGCAAGTACAGAAGAGGTAGAGAAAAGGGGAAAGGTGAACGTGGAGAGACTAATCAGAAGACATTTACAAGAGTCACAGATGTAGAGATGTGCACATAATCCGGAATCAAGGATGAGCCACACAACACACACACACGCAACACTATGGCTATAACTGAATAGAAACCAAAAAATAATAAAGAACAGTATAACAACGAGCATAGTAACGACTAAACAGCAAATAAAACCCTGTTCAGTACAGCAAAATTCCCAGCCTTTCTCTAGGCGGATCCCAGCCCTTCACCGGGCGAACACTATTCCCAGCCCTTCACCGGGCGGACACTATTCCCAGCCTTTCTCTAGGTGGTTCCCAGCCCTTTACCGGGCGGATGCGTTCCCTGCCCGCTAGGCAGTCAAGCTATAATTAAGTGTTCTTGCAAGAACACTTATTGTTATCTCACATATATATTATTATTATTATAATAGCCAAATTTGCCACCCTAACTCCTCCCACAGTTTTTACACTACCTAGACCAAAATTTACCAAAACGTGCAGATTGTTCCCGATCGGATTGCTATTACTTTGTGGAACGTTTCGCCAAATGGTTCACGGAATATCGTCGTTTTTGTGGCGCAATTTGTCCCATAGGAATGAATGGCAAAGCTAGAGTGGGAGCTGGCAAAAGCTGAAAAATCAGGACATGATTTCTAAACTGCCACCACTCCCTTATTTTCAGGCCCACCTACACAAATCTTATATCAAAACGTTCAGCTATCCCTGCTGCCACTAAACATGTCAACGGCTAAGCCATAGTCCTGATAGTTTTCACAATATAATCATTTGTTTGCAACTAACGCCGTCCATTGACTTTCATTGAAACTTCACTCTGCAAAGCTCAAATTTGAAGTGCAATTTCTAAACTGCGACTGTGCCTTCAATTTTAATACTTCAGAGACATACTATGCATCAAAATGTAGGTCTGGGTCTTGTGATTCTCACAATATAAAGCTCTTCGCTGTAGGAGTTATAGTTTTTAAAATACGACCGTTTGAAGATGGCAACCACCAAAATACTCTGACCTGTCAAGGCTGCAGCAGCAAGTGATGTCATAGACAGGGCCTTTTGAACACCTGCTAATGTTTTTATAAATGTATGGTTTAATGTAACTGTGCAACAACGTTGCAATTGAATGTGCTAGACTACTGGTGGAGGCAAGAACACTTCACACAATTTCCCCAGAAATTGTAGCTTTTCTAGTAATAAAAATAGTAATAAACCACGCACCAGCTGTCTCACACGCACACAAACACTCAGGAGGCAGATAGACAATCGACAGGTTCGTTTTAAAAGGCACCGGATAAGAGATTACCTGTCTTGTAGCCTTCTGGAAGCCGGAAGTGGACAGAGAGACAGACCGACACAAAACAGGAGAATACAGGCAAACCGCTGAATTTAGGAGGTGATCAGGCTCCGACTGTCCCACTTTCCTGAGGTCCGTTCCGGTCCCGTTTTCCGCCCCTCCGAACTGGCGAAATCTGGTGCCCCACGTTGGGCGCCAAATGATGTGGAATCAATCAGTTAATTGATTATCTTGTGTATCTGCCCCTGGCAAAATTAAGAAGTAGTGCGTGCACGCTCCTAAAGTAATTCACACCAGACACAGGTTTCGGGTTAATGAAAAACTTGAGGAATGTTTATTCTGAGGGGACGGCATCCCCCTTATAAAGCAAAATTACATCATATGCTTTGTCAGAGATAACATGGAATAATACATCAATAATTGGTTAGGTGTTAAGTGGTTCATTTATTGCTCTTCCTACCGGGTGTGATGTCATTGGTATCTTGGAGGTCTCCCCCAGATTCCAGCGCCATCTTGTTAGTAAGGGTGTTAGTCGATGTCGAAGGGAAACTCTCTAGCGGCCATTTTAGGTAAATCACATATAAAGTTGAATAATGCTGATTGTAGGTTTGCTGAGTAAATAGGCATTTTACTAACATAAATTGAGTTAATATTTTTGTCCACAACACCCACACATTTAAAAACTTCAGCTTCCATGATGCTTTGTCATTTTAAAGTCATGCAAAGCATCATGGGAGTTGTAGTTTTTCATCTGTTGGGCACCCCTGATCTAGGTGTGGTTCCAGAGTCCTTAGTGTTAGTTTGACCTGGCTTTCCTTTATTACGCTACTCCTCTCCTGCCCTTGTGTACTTGACACGGTCAGTTTACTTTCCTTCCTGTTTTGTGTTCCCCTCTTTTGTCTTATCTGACTACCCAGTCTGTGTACTAGTTGCTGGCTTGTTTACTGACATTTCTCTTCTCTGTGCTCCTGACCCTTGCCTGTCTTGACTACACTTTGGTTTCAGTGTTCTTGTTACCTGCCTTTGTCTGGCACCATGTATTTTGTATTATTAATTTGTGTTTTGTAATTTGTTCCTCTTCTGGCCTATATTCTTTTTCTCAGTTTATTCCTGTTACTCGCTAGTTCCTGCTTTACGTTAAGCCTGGACACTTTAAGGTCCAGTAATACGCCTCTTCCTATTCCTCTGTCTTTGCCCTTATTAGGTCTGTAACGGACCGTTTTGCACACAAGGGGTAAAAACCGTTTAGGCGATCGTCCCCCTTTCCAGAGATGCAGGCACAGCTATTGTAGAACACCAAACACACGAACCGCCAATAAGTGAATGCTTCAAACTCCCGAACGGCATCCAATATAGCACTCCAAACACACGAACAGGAACCGTACGAATCGCTGCTAGCAGACGAATAGGAAAAGCATCCAAGTGGCTTACACTCCTAGCAATCAGTCTCTATCAGCATTCAGTAAATCCCCCCAAAGACGAGACAAGGCTCCGTGTTGAGGGTCAAGCAGTGGTCTGTTTAATGAGGGCTACCTGCCCAGTATTTATGCAGGTCTCCCACCTGGTGGACACTCCCCTAGGGGACCAAATGGGAGACTGTGACAAAAGACAGACAAGTTGACAAATAGGACACACAGTCACATTATATTCCCACAATGCATCCTGGCTTCATCCCCTCTGCCCTGGAGATAATTGAGAAGTAATTCAATTATCTCCCAAGACAAAGGCAAATCGCCATTATGCACGTGGGGATACTAAAACACGAATTACTGTTAAAATACACCATGTAAGACACATTACAATAAAACTATACATTTAACATGTCCCCAGATAGCTCAGGTCTGAGCGCACATTATTAAGCGAATGGCGCTCAGACCACACGAATACAGTTTAATCGCCATGGAGCTAAAGTCTTTACACAGTCAGTTTCATGCGAATGGGCTCCATGGGATTCCTATCTGGTGTATAACATAGACAAGTGAAACTACCGAACACCGGCCGTTCGTGTACTTTCACCGAACAAGAAGGGAGGTCGGCGGCTTCAGCGGTGTTCGCGCAAAACTGTGTCCGATTTTAGTTACATGAATTAAGCGTCGAACACCGCTGTAGATTCGCATGTTTAAAATGGCCGCGACCTCGTGTTCGGGATACGAATGGCGGCCACCCAGCATTCGTCAATTAAGCTGCGGTTAACCGCAGCTTCAGGGAGGTTAATTGCCGGCACACTCCAGCTCCCAGGTAGTCTATTCATTCGTGCGGTTGTTCGGTAGATTGAATCTACCGAACACCCGGCAGAAAAGCACGAATAAAGCTTTTCTGCAGGCGAAACAAAGTCTTTTAATATGGGGGCCATAGTCCAAAGGCAGCAGGCGAGCAACCAGGCTTCTCCAATGCAATATGGCGAGATTGGTCTCGTCACAAGGTCACTGCCTCTCACCTTGCTGAGGATTCTCTTGCAAACCCTGACAACTATAACCACTACAGCCCATTAGTGTGGCAGGGATGCCCTGATGCCATTGTACTGTAACTAGTCAAATCAATTTCAAACGGTTTGACACATACATGGCTCCTCTGGGAGTCTCTGGTCTAGATTCCATTTCTAGTATATCTGGATCAGAAATTCTATTTCCATTATAGTTATGTCAGTTTCATCCCTATTTAAATTACGGTAGATTCATTGGTTAAGATTTAGCTGATGCTCCGTATAGAGCACTATTCAATCATGAAAAGTACCTTCTCCGCTGCCTGATTGACAGCTACGTGAGTGGAAGCTTGTCAATGTCTCTTGAAATCTTATATAGAGTAACAAGGAGCCCTCCTTTCACTTACAGAGGTGGGTGTTACACTTTTGTAACCTCCCCCCTCCCCCCTCAGTCCGCCCACACACCTTTTTCTGGTCTTCATTGATTTGCCTTCCCTGAGGACACATTGCCAGGGTGCCGACGTCTGAAGAGAGTGACGATATGTCACTCTGTTCCTATACTCCCTAGCCAGTGCAAGCAGCGCTGGCTGGGAGTTACCATAGCAACTATGGTTACTATGGGTAAAGAGCAGAAGGACCAATTCTGCTCTCCTGGCTCTCAATTCTTCTGCATTGAGTGTCTGCAGAGGAATTGACAGTCAGATATGATAAAAAAACAAAACTATTTTTAAATAGGTTTTTTCAAATCTATACATTTGCTAGCACAATGTATACATGGAATTTCATGCTCTTTTACCAGAGCTAATGTTGAATTAATATAATAAATTAAAAAAAAATTCAAGGCAGGATCCCTTTAATACAAGTCACCAAGCTGAAGTGTTTTTGAGGTTTGTAGTTTTTCTTTATTGGGGGCCTATAATGCCTCAGACAATTTATACTCATTAGATTGAGCATAATACCATATCTATACATTGTGCTAGCAAATGTATGGTTTAGGAGAAAACCCTATTTAAATAGCTGTCCGTCAAGACCACAAGGAAGAGTAGAAAAGACCTCCTGCAGGAGGACACTGTGTTCTCCACCCATAGCAACCAGAGTGCATGCACTGAGGTTGCTAAGGAAATTCCTTAGCCCATACTACTATTCCTAGCAAGGCGGGAGTATAGGAATGGAGTGACGTTATGTCGTTCTGTTCCGACGCAGAAATTTACCCTGCTTGCAGATGCGTCCCAAACTGGGCAAATCATAGAAAAGACCTGGAAATGCAGAGGACAACCCGAAGGTGGGTGTTACACAAAGAGTAATACCCAGCAAGCGGTGCTGAAACAGAGAAAAAAGTACAGATCTGAAATTTTCATTATGGGTTCACTTTAACATTGTGATGTCAGAGCAGACTCTAATTTCCAGCAATATGCATGCACATATCAATATTATTATTATCATTGCCATTTATATAGCGCCAACAAATACTGTAGTGCTTTACAATATTATGAGAGGGGGGGATTTAACTGTAAATAGGACAATTACAAGAAAACTTACAGGAGGACCCTGCTCAAACGAGCTTACAGTCTATATAGTATATACAAGGTGTATTGTGCACATGGCCTTTGTGATATATAACACATCTTTTCTTTTTATATACTTTTTTCCCCCCCAATCCATCTGTCCTAGAAAATAACTTGGCATACCAGGACACACATTCCCACACTGAGCCTGTATAACAGTCCCTCCTTTCTACCCACAGCTCACACTGTCACCTAGCTAACAGCTAACTAGCTCTCTGGCTCACTTTGCTGAGCTCACTCAGTGACTGTGTGTCGAATCTGCCTCTCTGATCACCTGATTACCATTTACTTCAATAATAGCTTTAATAAGTAGATATTAAAATATAGTATCAATATTGTGTTGCTTTTTTTTATTTATTAATTGCGGTTTTTTTTATTTTATTTATTTTTTTATTTATTAATGTGACTTTCTCCCTCAGTGTGGAAAGTGCCCTCCCTGATCGATCACGTGACTGTCATGGCGGCGCCCGGTGGAAGCACTGTCCTTAGCCCTGACCATGCAGCCAGCTTTTCACCTGTGGCCCCCGGGGAGGGCACGCTGCAGTACAGCCTGATCATGGAGCATCTGGTCGGCGATAAGAGGAGGCCTGTAGAAGTGATACCCGGGGGGCTTGGGGGGATTCCGACCCCCATAAAACCCGATGAGCAGAAGATGATGGAGAGGGTGATGGAGAGCTGCGGGTTTAAGGCTGCCTTGGCATGTGTTGGGGGTGAGACCATAACATTGCTCTTACAGAACCTCTGGCCACGATATTTTTATATAGGATCTTTATATAAATAATAATAATAATATGGAATGGTTATAAAAATGGAGGGTGAAGAGCTGTGATAAGAAAACAGTCTGAAGACTGCCTTTAGCAAATATATTCACTCTATTGGAGGGGGGCTGCAGTTATTCACTATCAGCATAGCAGATGGAAGTGCAGTAGCTGTACTACAACTCCCATTATAACTATTTTTTATTTGAAAGGAACACTCTAGGCACCATAACAACTACAATGTGGTCCTTATGTTCTCATTTGGTCTGATAAAGCGGTAGTTTGTACTTTAAGATTATTATATCAGGCTTGGACATTTTTTTTTTTTTTTCTTCTTCAATGGCTGAGAGTGTCCTCTGACAGCTGTCAGCCATTGAATACTGGCCAAGATGGTGTGAGTTGGCCTGATGATGCGGAAGTATGAACATTCTCATATAAATATTTAGGGGCCACCCCCCCAGTTAGTTTAAAACTGTTTTATAGTGTTATGAGCTGTTGTGGTTATGGTGCTTAGAGAGCCTGTTTAGAGAAAATAGCAATCTAAATAGCTCAAGATCACTATAGAGGTCACATTAATGGCATTCTGCTTTCACTACGTTAAGACATTTTATTTCTCATTATGTCCATTACATTTGCATGATAAATGATTGGATTGCGTTCAATTTAGAGGTTAATTGCAGGTCTCCTTTGACCTAATTCATGAGAAAATATATTCCTGACATTAGTGTTCCTTTTAATGAAGGTTCTGTTTAGATCATGCCCCTGCAGTCTCACCGTTCAATTCCCTCCCATTTAAAAGTTGAATTGGCCACACCTCCCATGTTTCATTTGCAATCAGATCTTAAAGGACCACTATAGTGCCAGGAAAACATACTCGTTTTCCTGGCACTATAGTGCCCTGAGGGTGCCCCCACCCTCAGGGTCCCCCTCCCGCCCGGCTCTGGAAAGGGGAGTCTCACAGCGCGCTCTCCTCTCCTCCCACCCATGCGCGGCAAGACTGCCATCACGAAGCGCCTCGCCTCTAGTGGCCATAGCTAGGGGGAAGGCTTAACCCATTCATAAACATAGCAGTTTCTCTGAAACTGCTATGTTTATGAAAAAATGGGTTAAAAGGACCTGGCCCAAATTCATTAAGCTGAAGAGGGGAGAGTGGTCCTTTAAAGTAGTAGTGAGTGGCTCTGTTAATTGAATTAATCACTTTAAACTTTATCAATTATATGTTCTAGGGGGAGATAAGACATCCAATTAAAGCCTGGGGAAAGAAATTTTCAAGGTTTTTGAAAGTGCATGTTATAAAATGGGTAATCTAGGGACACATTAAAGGTGTTTTGTGCTTAGTGTAATGGGGAATTTCCGAAATTGAAAGGCTGGGGGTTTGTGCAAGGCTTTTGGTTTTAGTGAGTATAATTGTTAAGGCATTTATAGTAAATGTATTGGGGAATACAACACACACATAGTGCTGCTCAGTTTCATTTTTTTTGGTGGGTTTCTAAAGAGATGCTGATGTGCTGTGGACATTGGCCACTCCTTTCACCAGGGTAGAGGAATGGTCCTCTAGTTTCAGGACCTTTTTCCTTTGGTTGTCATGAATCTCTGGTAATCTTCATTGTACAAAACAGTAGCGAACCAGGGGGGTACATCTCATTGTGTTCTTGGGACCATTCTGGTGGACAATGGGAAATAATGGAATTTCTTTTGTATTTATTAGGTTCACCTTTTGGGGGAGCATTTGGTGTGTTCACTGCTGGCATTGATACCAATGTTGGCTTTGATCCTAAAGATCCTTACCGGACTCCAAGTGCAAGAGAGGTCCTAAAAGACATGGGTCAGAGAGGAATGTCTTATGCCAAAAACTTTGCAATTGTGGGTGCCATGTTCTCTTGCACTGAATGTCTTGTGGAATCGGTAAGCATGGTAGCTGGTCTTTATATTTAATATGTACTGAGCATGTTCAGCAGGGATTTAGGAATATGTAATTCATTTCTCTTCAGTAGTTTCAATTATGAACAGAAATAAGGGACACTCCAGTCCTCCAAAGCACATCAGCTTGCTGAAGTTCTTTAGGCGCTAACTGCATGTCCCATTAAGCTTATTTTATAAAGCTTCCATGTTGCACTCCCTGGATGTCTGATTGCTGTAGCAGAAAGTAGTGCTTCATAGAGAAGCGTTGAAGTTCATGCCTCCTGCCTCACAATGCCTCTATATGAGAAGTATTCTGTTGGCTGGGAGATCATCTTTTGTAATCTAGATTGATAGATTGTAAATTCTCATGGGAATAGGGCCCTAAACGCCTCCTGTACTTGTTTGTCAAATTTTGTATTGCGATGCAGAATGTTTTGGTACTTTATCAATCAAGTATAATAATCACATGTAGGAGACCCTGTCACCGCTGGTTTCAAGGTAAGTAATTGCTTTTAGAAATTCCCTGTATTTCACGAACAACCAAGGGCTAACTGAATAGAGATGAATGGATCCCTGATATTTTCAAATATACCTTATTTCTGAAGTGAGATTTATTTCAAAGTAGCTCAACCAAATCCAACTGATTTGGAGCCGAATTGTAATTTCAATTTTCCTGCTACAATTAAAATGCTGCTAATGTAAGTGTTTGTTTATTTTGGGGGATATAGGGACAAAGGAACCCTCTGGGCACCATAACAACTTAATCAGAATAGAGTTATGCTGAAAAGTTGTCACTGAGTGCCTGCTTACCTCAAAGGGTTAAACCATTCACAAAATGGAGTGAGAAATGTACAGATTTTTCTCACTTCGTTTTTAGGCTCCCAGTCTGAGACTTTCTGTTTTAGGGCAACAAATTAAAGGGACACTACAGGCACCCAGACCACTTCTGCCCATTGGAGTGGTCTGGGTGCCAACTCCCACTACCCTTAACCTTGCAAGTGTAATTATTGCAGTTTTTTATAAACTGCAATAATTACCTTGCAGGGTTAACTCCTCCTCTAGTGGCTGTCTACTAGACAGCCACTAGAGGGCACTTCCGTGTCTATTGCGCAGGTTGTCTGTGCTAGAGCGTCGCTGGACGTCCTCACGCTGTGTGAGGACCTCCAGCATCGCTCAATTTCCCATAGGAAAGCATTGAAAAGCATTTTCAATGCTTTCCTATGGAGAGCTCTAATGCGCGTGCGCGGCATTGCTGCGAATGTTCATTAGGTCTCCACGGACAGCGGGCGGGATCAGTCTCGCCTACTGACTGACATTAGGAAGGGGAGGAGCGGCAGCGACCCTAAACCACTGCCGAGGAACATTGGCAGGGGTCCCAGGTAAGTGACTGAAGGGGTTTTCACCCCTTCAGACAACCGGGGATGGGAGGTGGGAGAGGGAGAGGGGACCTGCAGTGCCAGGAAAACAGTGTTTTCCTGGCACTGGAGTGTCCCTTTAAGTATCTGGGCAGAACAAACGGGTGCCAGATTTAAGACTGGGGTTAAGCGGTCTATTAACAGTTTAACCTTTAAGATAAGCTGCCACTGGGGGTGGACCTCACACCATAACAACTTAATTCCAATTTTAAGGCGGATTTGGTTTAGGATTAGGGACCATAATAGTTTTACCTTGGTCTGTAATGGGAACAATCAAATGTAGGCTATGCAGTTTAAATTCTGTTTGTTTGTTTGTGAATAGGCAAATCACGGGTGCTATATGGAGATTGAGCTGATATCAACAGGCAACCAAACTGCAGCCTAAATGAAGAGTAGATTCCGTTTTATAACCAAATGTGCCTTTGTGAGTAGCCAAATAGGTTATAACAGCCAAATTGTAACAACTGAAAAGCATTTGGCTGCTGAAGGCAATTAGTGAGTAGACCCCATAATATATGTACAGCTAAATATCAAACTCCTGTTAATCTATGACCAAACGAACTGATCCAGATGGATTGATTCATTTGGGCGTAGATTAACAGGATACAACCATAAAGAATTGTGAAGTGGAGCACCTATTTAGATATAGTATACTTGTGAATCACACTAAAAACGTGTACTTATCTGAAATAAATCTTGCTGTGTAGCATCACTTTAAACAAGAAAATCATATGTTCAACCATCATAGTGTAGTAGTATGTACTACATCAGTGACTGTATATACAAGTTTAACTACTCACATTAATTAGAGTTAACAAGCTAGCTTTGCAGCAGCCTCTCGGCATGTTTCAGTAACCACCATATGAGCTGTAATATCCAAGAATGTTCTTCAATACTCAGCGTATCTCCATCAAATAATTAACCCTTTTGACGAAACTCTATGCACTCACGTGATTCAGAGCATATACACTATGGCTCACATTTCTTGGTGTGTGTGGGTAAGTCAACACTGACCATACCAACAACTGGATGACTCCTCCAAAATAAGGATAGAACTTGAGTTTAAATCTAACAGACTTTATTATGTTAAAAACAAACCATAAATTTGCAGAAACTGGTCTTACCTAGTGAACCAGGTTTCCTCAGCCTGCTATAAAATCCACCCAGGTCTTTTATATCCTTGACGTTCAGATCAGAAGGGCCTATGTAGGGGGTTAGGTTTTCTCTAAATGTTCTAAGGGAATTCTGATTAGTTTTGGAACCGTGAAACAAATGCTAATTTACCCCAAAGCTTTCTCTTTGAAGCCAGGATACTAATGCAGAACTTCCCTGAGGTAGTGATGATCTGGTAATTCTTGTAGAAAGCAATAACGGAATTTTACTAGGAACATTAGTACATTTAGATAACTTAAATAGATAGCAGTATAATATTCAGTAGATTTATGCAACCCATGGAAAATCTTTCTCTCTATATACTTTTTTATTTTAATTTTATTTTTTATAAGAAACATTCCGCTAACCACGCACCAAGCGTGCTCTATTGGTACCCTCTCATTGTACGTAATCTTGCCTGGGGTCTTACTGCCTCCTCTACAGCTCAGTGAGGGCCAGAAGCTCCTGTGCAGGCCGAGCTTAGCTGATTGCTCTCAGCCAATGGCCTAGTCCTGCTGAGCTTAGCTCAAACAGAGATTGTATTGCTCTTTGAATGCTGTAGTGGAGGCAGTGAGCAGTGGACTCCAGGTAAGAAGTCAATCCATTCTAAACCTGTGAAGGGACATTATGGCACTCCTGACTCCATTACCAGCGTGCTGAAGTAGTTATTGTGCTTGCAATGTTCCTTTAAGTTAATTTGAATGTTATAGGCTTCCCCCCATGCTTTTATTAAGCAGGTATGTATTTTTTCTTCTTCTTGAAGTTCCTTATTTCTCTGACATGTTTTCCATGTAGTCAAGAAATCTATTTTAATTTACTGACATTCAAATGAAACCTTTTTAACAAAGATTTTTGTCTAAAACCTTCTATAAATACAAATATAACAAAACATGAGTTTTGGATCTGTTATTCTTTGTCAGACTAGAGGTGTGAGATCAGTTTCTGCTATACATGTGAATGATGATAAATTGAAAAGATTTCTATTTGTAAGGAGCGCGCCCACACATTCTGGCACAGGAAGCATAGATAAACCTGCTTGCTTGTCAGCAGGAGGAGGTGACACGCCAACTAAAGGTAGAAACTGCAATTGATCCTCTCATGGGGTTTTTATTTTGAAATGAATGCAGTGAAGCCATTTACACTTCTTTTCCTGAAATGTCACTCACAGAATGGCCTAGAACCTGCTGTATAGCTTATCGCTTCAGTGAAAATGTAGACTGGAGATTTGTTATTGCTTCTAGCTTGAATGCATGTCAACAGGTGGATATCATGTCTAAGCACAACAGAGCAAGTGCAGACTGGCCAAGATTAGGCAAAGTAAGCAGACACCTTCTACAACCTGTGAGAAGCAACAAACCCTTGCCAGGCTAGGCTCACTGACTCCATTAAAATGCTGTCCTGAAGTCAAATTTATACCCTGTGCTAAATGGGCAAAATAGTTTTAGAATTTAAATGCTTACTATTTGAAAATTGAAAAGTTAGTGGCTTCCCCCCAATGCTTTGTTATGTAAGTGGAGTATGTAAATTTTTTCTTCTTCTTCAAAGACAGCCTTATTTCTCTGGACCTGCATTTTCCCCATGTAGTTCAAGAAAGGTCTAGTTTTAATTTACTGACATTCAAATGAAACCTTTATTAACAAAGATTTTTTGAAAAAACCTGTTTCCTATAATTTTTACAAATTATAACAAAACATTGAGTATTTGGATCTGTTATTCTTCTTGGTCAGACTCGGATGACATTTTGGTGGCGATCAGTTGACTCTGCTATTTACATGTGAATGACAATAAATTGATCAAAAATTTCCTAAAGTAAGGTAGCATTTTGTTTAAATGCAGCAGCTCTTTGTTTCTACAAGATAAACTTGAGGAATAGAGTTTGCTTTTCAATTTCGTTATTTTCTATTCTGTACACTTTAGGTGTCTATTGAAAAGCTTTCAACACTGGGGGCATTTTTAGCAACCACGCCGATTGTCCTCTTCCAAGTTATTTTTATTCCATTATAAAAAGAATGCAAATTACTGTTAAACACAAAAAACATGGGGATTCCCCTGTTTGGAATATCCTATAGCTTTTTATAAAAAAAAAAAGAATACATTTAAGTGAGCATATCTCTGGCACTAAAGTATTGACCCTCAACACCTTTGTATGTAACCAAAGGAAAAATTGTCTAAAATAAAGCGGTGTACTTTTGCAGTGGAAGTGGGAACAAGAAATACTGTCAAACAGTAGACCAACTTAAGGGATACCACTAACATGACCAAACTGGTCCATACCGGTTTTGCCACAACCTCAATGTCAACAAAGTATTTTCGTAGCCAGACGTGTTTTCCCATAGAACCCTGATGTTAATATTGTCCAGACGGCAGTTTTATGTAAAAGAAGGGAGCAGCTATGCAAGATATGCAGTAATAATAACAAGGTGTAGAAGCTCCCCACTGGCAAGGACCATCATGCCAAAAGGCAGAATTATAGCATCACTTCGTTACATACCTGGGTCAAGAGCCACACACGGACTCCAAGTATCGTTTTTAACCTCATGCGCATTTGCAGAAAGGGACTATTAATTCAGAAGGCATTATAAATTTGTACGTTGCTGAGTCCTACAATGAGGAAGCAGTGTGGGACCGAAATAGATCGGTATTTATACAGTGTGGCGCATCTGAGAGGACATGGTGATTAACCAAAGGTCCCATCGGCAGATATTGCAGCTAAGCGTGGCTGAATCAGAAGACAGGAATGGTGTGGATGGCTATAGTGTCCTTTACCAACTCCACTGGTGCACTGGACTCCAATTATGCCAAAATAGGAGTGTTAAAGGATGAACTGAAAGGCTTAGAAAACAAATGGTTCTTAAAGATGGAAAATATTATTCAAGCCACCGGTAGAAATTTAAAACTGTTCATAGACGGACACTTCTAGAGACATGTCGGAATTCCTCAGAAAACATTTCTAATACCAAGTATTGTTTATTGACTAGGTTGCTAGTGTGTACAACGTGTTCTAAAAATAATGTTAGACAAGGCAGTAAAGCCAGCATAGTCAGTTTATGGGGGACTTCTGCTGTCATTTACTATTGACTATACATTGTGCCTAGCCGGTGGCGCTACTGTTATGGCTGCAAGTATTCACATAGAAGCATTCTACTCCGTCAGAGAAAGCAGGAGAAGTCGTGAGATTCCTGCTACGAGAAATAATACCCCGATATGGACTACCCTGCTCTATAGGATGGGACAATGGTCCAGCTTTTGTTCATCAGTGCCTACAACAACTGACTCATATGCTTGGTATAAAGTGGAGGCTTCATACGGCATATAGACCCCAGAGTTCTGGTAAGGTAGAGAGAATGAATAGAACTATTAAGAATCAGTTGGCTAAAATATGTCAGGAAACCCAACTTAAGTGGAACGTTCTCTTGCCCATAGCTCTATTGCGAATCCGTAGTACACCTACCAGAAGGATGGGCCTCTCTCCTTTTGAAATCATGTACGGGCGACCACCTCCCGTGCTTGGTGACTTAAGGGGGGATTTGAGTCAGTTGGGAGAAGGAATTACCCGGCAGCAGGTTGTAGAGTTGGGTAAGACTATGGAGGAGGTACAGAAATGGGTACAAGATAGATTACCTGTGAATATTTATCCCCAATTCATAGTTACCACCCAGGCGACCAAGTGTGGATTAAAGAGTGGAATAATGTGCCGTTAAGCCCAAGCAAGAGGTCTTAGTTGTTCTTTTGCTACCCCTACAGCGATAAAATAGCGAATGATACATACATGCTTCTTTAAGTGGAGAAAAAAAACGAGGAAGGAGTAGACAAGTAGTTTTTTCCCACATATTAAAGGGAGTGGATATAATTCATCAGAATTAAAGATAAGGAAGGTAGAGGTACCAACACTGTAGCTGTGAGGTATACATTGACTAATATATATCCCAGACTTTTGCATTCGCAATTGAAAAAGATTACAAATGAATACTTAAAATAGACATATTGTGCTGTGACTTTAATAGGATGACCGATATTAGATAAAACCCCGTCAATTTATTGACCTCAGAAAGAACAGATAATTAATAATCTATTAGAAATATGATCATTTTGCTATTTGATGCTGTAAAGCAATATCAAGTGGAATAATACGGGAATGTTTGGTATCTTAGATGGGAGGGGACGTATGGGTCTAACGATAAATATATTTGTCCCAGTAGTAAAAATAAATATGTAAGTCCAAGATGCCCAAATAGAGATTATAACTTCTGCCCATATTGGTCTTGTGTGGGGTGAGCGACTTGGGGACAGACAGCAGACAAGGACATGATTGTGACTAAGTTGCCTACTGATCCATATTGTAAGTCTATGGAATGCAATCCAATCCATATACTTATAAATAACCCTGACAAGTTCTTAGATAAATATGGTAATTTATTTGGGTTTCAAATATATGGGACGGGTTAGACCCTGGGACAATATTGTTTATAGGGATAGAGACTGATACGGTAACCTCCCAAACTCATCAAGTATACCATTCCTTTTATGAAGAGATGAGCATAGATAATAAGATCCCCATAATGCTAAAAACTTGTTCATTGATTTAGCCGAGAGTATTGCCGGTAGTCTTAATGTTACCAACTGCTCATGTGTACTGTATAACAAAACGGCCAAGGCCTTTGAAGCAAAGGGGTAATGAGAGTTCTGGGCAGAGACCAAACATAATACAAAGCCGACTATATATGAGTGTTTTTAAGGGGAAGAGTGGAGATTGAAGACCTTTATAGGTTATTTGCATAGCGAGGAAAGAAAAGGATTAATAAAGAAAAAGAGAATTAACTTAAAAGGGCAAAAATTTAGATGGAATAAAAAATTAAACTAATGGAAGGAAATAATATGGGGAACCATAAAAAGTTTGAAATCCCCAAGTAAAGGGAAAATGGTAAATCCTCTAACTGGAGAGAATTTTAATTAATTACCTGGATGAAATTACAGGACAATATTAGAAAGAAGATATCCAAAAAGGATTATAGATTTAAAACCAGAGTAATATATAGAACAATATGGAGAAGTCATATGTAAATAGATTGAGTAATTATTTATAAAATTAGATAGTTTTAACTAGCCAGTAACAGGGATGCAACTTTTACACACTGAATTAGAAATTGATAAAGTATCAGGAGATTCTGGCAATTTAAATAAGAATCAGGGAGAACCAATAGGAAGGGAGAGTTGAAGATACACATAGGATAATCTGGTCTGGTTAAATGGATTAGGATAAACCAAGGTTAATATTCAAGTAATTGTATAATAT